TATAAACCATTTTTTTCTTTCTTTTTTTTTTTTTTTTGGCAGGGGGAGAGGTTTTTGCTATAGTGTGCGTGCATTTGCCAGCCAGACAGAGAGACAGAAAGTGAGAAATTACCCCCCAGGAGGGATGGCCATGCCACAATCCCTTCTCCTTTCTCCTCTTGGGATCTTGGGCACTCACGCACGCACGCACGCACACGCGCCTGGAGTGAGTTTTAAGCCACCAGGTCCGGGCTGTGAACCACAGTCGACTACATGGGAGTCCAGCCACATAGCCATTATGCTGACTGCTGGTCCCTCTTTTTTTTTGTTTGTTTTTAAAGAAAGGGTGCTTGCACTCACCAGAGAGACAGAAAGTGAGAAATTACCCCCCAGGAGGGATGGCCATGCCACAATCCCTTCTCCTTTCTCCTCTTGGGATCTTGGGCACTCACGCACGCACGCACGCACACGCGCCTGGAGTGAGTTTTAAGCCACCAGGTCCGGGCTGTGAACCACAGTCGACTATGTGGGAGTCCAGTAACATAACCATTACACCATCGGCTGGTCCCAGTATATAAATCATTTTAAAACATGGATGTTGGAGATGAGCAATAAAGGATCTATACCTTTAACATCTTATTAACTTACCTTAAATATCTAAATGTACATTTGTTCACTGAATCCTAATACTGGGTAAACAGAAACCATGACACATTTTTGCATCAAAACAGAAAAACACGTCATGACTGTCCTGATGACCCAACAGGAAGTCAGATATTTTGTTTTAAGCATGGATCCTGTGAAGCTCATCTCGTCAGTTACCATCGTCTCTTTGGTGCCATCTTCCCTGTCACCCTATTCTTGTCACTGTCATTTACTCAACACTCACAAATATAACCACAGCCTCACAGACACTTGACTCATCTCAAAGATCTTCCTGTTTCGGGCTCCTCCAGGTCCGGACTTGTCCTCCTCGGCATCAGATCAGCTCTAGCTCTTGAGTTCACACACTCCGTGCTCTAACCACCACCTCCTCTCACCCTGCAGGTCATTTCACGGGCGTGGTCCATCACGAGGCAGCATCATTGTCCCACAGACTACCGTCAGCCCCTCCACCACCTCCTGTCGTCACTTACTCCTTGGACAGCTTAGAGCCCACATCCTAGTACTGCAATGAGCACCTTGCAAGTATCTTCAACTCCCCAGCCTGCTTTTATTGCCATCAAAATAGTTCAAGTTTTAACTACAAGTCTCTATACCTGCAGTTAGGCAGCTTCACACTGCTAGAGAAAAACCACACCCTAGGTTTGCCTCGATGTGCTCAAATTCACAACCACAACTCAAAAAGGACAAAACAATGTCCAAATCCTACAAATTTTCCCACTAAGTTGGTGTTCTCACATAATGTCTTCTCTCTCTTCAGATTCCCACACTGGCTTTCTTGAAGCCTTAACCTACTTTTGACCTCCTCAGTTCATTTCATCAGCAACCTTCCCACTTTCCTTTTGTACTCAGTGGTACATTATGGGATAAAAAAGCATTATCCAAGAATACAAACATTTGGCAACTGTTTTACAGTCAAAACCACCATACCCGCCAGTGATGCAGAACTGTGCTAGGACTAACACGCAGGAGTGGGGAAGCTCACTCAGTCCCCACTCTCATTACACACACACGGCCATGGCCACCACTTTCAAACTGTTCCACTCAAAAACCTGTTTATATTATTTATCAATTTAAAAAGGAAACAGATGCCATTACCACATTTATGGTTTGAATGCAGTAAACTCCATGAAGGCAGTTCTTCTATGAGTACACATTACCATATTTTAGCACAGTGATTATTCTGTAACCCAATGTGTTTCCACTTGGAATCTGTTGGCAAATGAAGCACAGACCAATAAAATATCCAAATGCGATAAACAATCTCTCCAATGTCTTCTGCTTCACCATTTTCTCAGCCCTGTTTTCTAAAGTTATGTTATACAAATCAGCATCATCTGGATAAGGGTGAAATGCGAACTGTAAGTAACCCTGTGCCAAAGGAGGTACAAATAACTGCTAGACAGACTTGACGGCACAGCCTTCTCTAATGCTGTCTACAGCCATTTAAGACAAAGAGGAAAAGGTCTTCCAACTCACTGTCAAGGCCGATCATCACGCAATTAAATATAAAAGCGTTTTAGAACATGGGAGGACAGAAAGCGTATGTGGCAATGTGTTTATATACCAGCACCTTTGAGTCGTACAACATTTAACAGCATTTACAACTCGTGCTGTATCTATTTTCATTATGCAGATGCTCACCCAGATTAGATGATCAAAGACACAGAAGAGCAGAATCACACAAGTATTTGGTGGGCTCTTATGAACTGAATAAAAATTAAATTTGAATACAGCCCATTAAATTCTTCATTAACGAAGTTTAGTTGCAGGAGAGTCACACGTTGCTGGTACCAACAATATCATGATGCTCTGAATGACTTGATTCTGTGAGAGCAGTTTGTTCTGGAACTGTACAGCAAGAAAACCAGGACGCTCACACTGCAAAGGTAACGTGATTTACCAGCTCCTCTTAATCCCATTACAGTAACAATGTGGGAAATCTGACCAAATCAAACTTCAAATGCAGCAGAGCGTGCGGCTTGCTACCATTACAACAAACAAGGACTCTACATTATTTTACTCGTTTACAGAAAAGAGAGGCTATATATGGATTTAACTCATTAGTTTTCAAAGTGAAAACTCATTTTATTTATTCCCGAAACAGAGATTTGCTTGGCAACATCATGAACTGCTTCATGTCAGATGACATCGGAGCCCATGGCACAGTTCCTGCTTTCTTAGCAAGATCTTGTCTTCTGGTTGGGGCGGGGGAGGGGTGGTGGTGAAAACACGCCCAAAACTCTTACTGTAAAGTACACATGCTCCTTGACTTCTGATGGGGTTAGGTCCCAATATACCCATCCTAACTAAAAAATACCCAAAGTGGAAAATGCATTATTAGTACCCCATAAACTCATCATAAAGTTGAAAGATCTCGAATCAAACCATGGTAAGTCAGGAACTGTCTGTACTACAAATGTTTTATTTACAATTAAATATTGAATTTTAAAATGTACCCAAATGAAATCAGAATGAGTAGAACATTTAATCAGATTACATGGTGTCCCAAACTTCAGCTCTGTTCAAGAACCACTTGGCATGAGAAATACCACCAATTGGTGCCTGAAGGTTTGCACAGTGCCCACTCCGTACACGTGCACCACATTACGTGGTGAGTGCCAGTCACCAAAGGCCACGGGGCTTCTAGCGAACTTAAAGTGGACAGAAATGGAATCTAACCGCAAACAAAATCCTCGAAGAGACAGGTCATCTGCTTAAATTCGACATAGTACCAACCCCACTTTTTGAATTTTGGCAATAAAACTTAATTTTATTTCATTAGCTTTGCTCATATAAAAATGCTTATTACTGCATTTCAGGAAATGGCACACATTTCATAACTTCCAAGATACTCTATAAACACTACCTAAAATAATACACACAAACCCAAACCAATCGGTAACCTGAAAGTATTACCCATTATGTAGTTGCTAAATATAATTCTTTATACATCTATTATACATTTTCCATTTTTCCAACATGTGTATATAGAAACAGTGCTGGGATCAATATATCTCCAAATGTGGCAATCGATTCACCAGAACACGGAGTGTTAGGACAGTGCAGTGGTTAAGAGCCTGATCTGAAGTTAGAAAATACAGGACATGGCATCCCAAAATTCATACCCCAATTATTAACTTAAGTCAAATTCAGTCACTTCTCTTTTTATTTCCAATAATATACTATTGCTAAAATATCAATATCGATATTGGTAGTATTAATAACTAGGTCGAATTCAAACTCAAGTGAACAGTGAAAATTCAGTTAGTAATATAAAGGCTTCTGTAATTAAATCAAATTTTCGTGCAATAAAACTTAATTTTATTTCATTAGCTTTGCTCATATAAAAATGCTTATTACTGCATTTCAGGAAATGGCACACATTTCATAACTTCCAAGATACTCTATAAACACTACCTAAAATAATACACACAAACCCAAACCAATCGGTAACCTGAAAGTATTACCCATTATGTAGTTGCTAAATATAATTCTTTATACATCTATTATACATTTTCCATTTTTCCAACATGTGTATATAGAAACAGTGCTGGGATCAATATATCTCCAAATGTGGCAATCGATTCACCAGAACACGGAGTGTTAGGACAGTGCAGTGGTTAAGAGCCTGATCTGAAGTTAGAAAATACAGGACATGGCATCCCAAAATTCATACCCCAATTATTAACTTAAGTCAAATTCAGTCACTTCTCTTTTTATTTCCAATAATATACTATTGCTAAAATATCAATATCGATATTGGTAGTATTAATAACTAGGTCGAATTCAAACTCAAGTGAACAGTGAAAATTCAGTTAGTAATATAAAGGCTGCTGTAATTAAATCAAATTTTCGTGTTTTTTTTTTTTTTAAAAAGAGCAGTGCCAATTTTTCAGTTGAGAGCAAATTTCTACAGTTATTTTACAAATTATTCTTCCTTAATATTTACATAAACTTTAACCAGAAAGAACGATTTCTTTAAGAATTTTTTAAAGTATGTGTATATGAAGATTTTAATAAATTTCTCTGAAAAAAATCTTACAAAAATAAAAAATAAACTTCTTCTCTACCTTACTTATAATTTTGCATTTGAACAAGCAATGTCAAAACACAAAATATGAAGCCATTTACTAAGCCACTAATTTTGGCCAGTTTTTAAAATTGTTTTATTTGTAATATTATAAAATATACTTCTACATTAGTTCAACAAATGGTCCCTCCCACCCTCTGAAAAAAAAAATGTAATCACTGTAATTTTGTTAGGAGTCACAAAAAATTTTATTTAGGAAATATATTCCCTTTAATGTTTATTAGATAATGACTCTTACTTAAATTAATAGCTTATTTTTCTGTGTAGACTAATTTAAAAGTATCCCTCATTCCTTTCATAAGCAAATTATCTGTCTCACTCTGCATGGTAGATAAGAAATACTTCTTCCTAACTTAAAAATTAATCAAGATTTTCCTCACTGAGTTAGTTATTTCTGTATGAATTGTTCTTGTGCTGCTGCTAAAATTAAAAAGTTAGTAAAGAATACAGACACGGGGGGAACAACCATAAACTATAATACTAGTTAATAATGAAATATATTAAATATTGTTTAAATATTAAACAGCAAAATATTCCTTCTATATTAAATAAATACTTAAAGATTTGAAGTCTTCCTATGGGAATTTAGGCCAATATCACCAATAATGGGATGGTCTAGTGCAAAGGGTGGCCACACACACAAATGGAAAATCACAAAAGAGGAGGTGGAAGAGGAGAACATTTAATACTGCTATTGTTTTCAATAACACATTAAACCAGTGTTCTCAATCCTTTCTGCACATTAAAATTACCTGGAAAACTATGCTAAAATACTGATGACCAGGTCTCATCCCAGACAAATTAGATCCCAGTCAGAAAAAGGTCTCAGGGGACCAGCAGATGGTTTAATGGTTACGTTACTGGACTCCCACATGGTCTACTGCAGTTTGAGTCCCAGATCTGGTGGCTTGAAACTGACATCAGGTGGGTTTGCATGCGTGCTCACGATCCAGAGAGAATGGAGGAGAAGAGACTGTGGCGTGGCTATCCCCTTTTGAGTGAGTTCTTATTTTCTGTCTCTCTGTCTGTCTCTTTTTCTCTAGGGAGCACATGGGCCCTATAGCAAAAAATCAATCTAAAAAAGAATAAGGACTCAGGCATGGGTACTTTATAAAACTTCCCAAATGATTCTAATGTGTAGTCAAGTTTGAGAGCTACCAATTGAAACCTACATGCTTCTTACTGCTACCTGATCTAGAGAGATGTCCTATGAATAAGAAAATAGAGCTTTCTTCACAAGGTAGAGCAGACAAAGGCGCCTCCAGTCAATGGAAACCCAGAGACAAGTCGAGTTACTAGTGTGCACTTCATTTCCATTATTTACTTACAGCTCTGCACTCCCTGTAAATCTGTATTCTCAAACTCCAAGACCAAGTATAGTCAAACCACTTTTGTAATAAACCTGCTACACTGAAAATACATCATGTGCTATGCATATACAGTCACTGAATGCCTACTATGTGCAAGGCACTGTGTAGGTGCTGCTGTAGGACTGAGTCACGGGAGAATGAAGAGTAAGTGAACTCTTCATTCAGTTACTGAATGGGGGGGGTTAGTTTTTAGAATTAATGGTTATAAAATTAAATACATGGACCTAAATAAGGAATGAATGTAAAACAAAACAAAAACAGACAAAAATTTAAAATCCAAGTACATACTAAGGGTCTTATTTAAAAATACATGTTATGGCATATATTTGTATATTTTCCCAAATGTTCCATACAGTATTTCCAGAAGCCTCTGAATATACACAAGGCCAATTCAAAATAGAAAAATAAATCCTATTCAACGTAAAATGTCCCCAATTTTAACCAGACTATATTAAGTAAATTTCATATATAAATACCAAAAATCTTTACGGAAAGGTAGTTCTTGTCCACTTCTAGTCCTAATAAACACTCTAACAGTAAAATATTAGATTCTAGTCCTTGAGTATTTCACCATGGCAAAAGCTTACACAATACATAATTTACTTTGAAAACAGATTTATATGCTGAGAAGCCTTATGTGAACCAATTTGAGTTTTCTTTTGTCTTCAAGAAGAGGGATGCAGAAGAGAAGGAAACAAAATGTGAGCAAAGCTGTTCAAAGCTTACAGACATACTCAAATCTATTCATTTAAAATGCTGACTGCTCATTTTCTGAAAAGCCTTGTGAATTTCATCTAAATAAATATCTTTTATAATAACTATTGGTAGGAACTTTTGTGGGTACTTAAAAAATAAATAATAATTGCTTCTCATTTTTATGACAGCTTTAAATTTCAAAAAGAGGCTAGGTAATGTCAGCTTACCACAGGAAAAAGAGCTAAATGTTTAGCAAGAATACATACGTTAATCTACGAATCACTAGTGGGAAAATGGAAAAGGAAAAAAAAAAAAGACACAAGACTGAATGACCAGCAGACCAGCAACAATCTGAATGGCAAAAACAAAGTTGGGGAGGAAGTAAAGTTCCCAGTTCTTTTAAGTAGTAAAAAGTGTCATCAAGACTCAGGAAAATGTTCATTCGATGTACGTTGGATGTAACACTCTGTCTAGAGTACAGAAATAGTAAAATATTTTACCAAGTTAAAATATAGTTTTTATATTTTATACCATATTGAATATACACATAAAAATACCAGTGTTTTTATCTTGTTTCTGTTCAGACACTTAATTAAGCAACTGTGTTCTTTGGTGCCTGGAAGTTTATCAATATTTAGGGATAATGGAAGATAAGAACTTCAAGATCAACAAGCCTGGAAACAGAAGACTCAAAAGTCCTCTACCATATAAAGTAAGAATCAAAGGTAGAGTGAGAAGAACAGATAAGGAAGCTACAGTTACACTGAAGTACAGTTGATACATAGTCCTTCCCCCAAATCACACTCTGGCTCCCCATATAAAAAGTACTACGGCCTGCTATGTTCTTAATCTGTGTTTGGGATTTTTCAAATGGATAACATAGATAGAAATATGTCATACTAAGTTTTAAAACCAACAAAGTCAATGAGAAGAATTGTACATTCATTAAATGTATTCATTTATAAGTAAAGAAGTCTTGAAAAGGCTGAACAGTTCAACCAAAGCTGAAGAATTGTTCTTGATTTTTCATTATTCCTTTTCAAATAAAGAGTAAGTGTAGATATAGTTTATATATAGGTTGACAATTTGATTCATTCAGAATACTCACATCCCTTTGCTTGGTTTTGGATGTTTCAGAGACTAAAATTTAATACCATTCATAACACAATATTTTCAGTAAAAGGAATTAAGAGCAATGAAAAATCAGAAGATGGCTTAGAGAGCCTTATATCCTCTAAATATACACACATTAATAACCTGTATTTATTTTCTAAAGAAACAAATTTTAAGCAATGCTAATTTAACCAATGGGGGAAAAACTTCTATCAAAATATACAATTTCCATTACAGACTAGAAGGCTAGTATTAAAAAAATAGTTGTAAGCCAAAAAGTTTGCTTATACGGATGACAGGCATCATCCCCTTGAAGCACAAAGCATCAAATAAGGTCTTATAAAAGATCAGTCTGTGACCTTCTTCACTTGCAAGTTCTTGATAAATTCATAAAGCTTAAGTCTCAGTCTTTAGATCAAAGTACATCCATGCTTCTTAATCCAGATTTCCAGAAATGGGGGAACCAAATAACTCAGAATCTCAAGTGGGATTTATGTTTTACCATGTACCTGAAAAACAATACAATAATAGGTATGATTATAGGAGTTTTAGAATTTTTAGAATGTTACATGTATAGAAGTTGACATTTCTTAGAACTTAAAATCAATAGTGGAACAGGATGCTTTCTAAACTACTGGAAATTTGATATTATTGGGTCATCAGAAATGTCATGACATATTTTTCTATATGTTTCTATGCAAAAATACTTTTCTAGCAACCCAGTATAATCTGGAGAAATATAAGAAGTTCTGAAGTAAGCTAACAGAAACATTCCTTATACTAAATTCTATAATCTAAGAATGTCTAGCTAGAATGATGAATGTTTCTCTTTAATATATGAATTTTATCAAATCATAATGGGTTATTTCAATTACTTTCAACTTTGAAGAAACCTATAATGTCCAGTGAGAGATGTACACCAAGAAAGTTACAGATTTTAGTGAGTATCCCGACAAGAATGATAAATTCCATGGTATTAACTGTGATCACACACTGTTCCTTAATTTGCCAATTACACAATTGTTATTAATATAAAGGGCTCTAAGAACTCTAATTAAAGTGTAAAAATGAATTCTTTTCATGAGTTCCCCCTATCCAATAAATCCAGAGTCAAGAGACCTTCAGTGCTTGTGAACTTAATCTAAGTTTCTTGAATAGACAGAAAAATGAGATTGAGAAAGATCATAAAACCAAACCGAACTCTAGGTCTTCTGTCCTTAGAGTGTAGTCTTTCTTCTACCAGGCTATCAATCATTTCTCTATTCCTTAAGTAAATATATTGAAGATATTATCTAGTTGATCAGCAACAAATTAGTGCTCAAAGAAAAAAATTAGGGAACATGGTTCACGACTTAAAATTTAACTGAGGAGCCAAGAAATTACTAGAATAAAGCAGAAGTAACTCTACTGTAGTATCAGAATTACCTGTCCAGTGTTTCCCAGAACCGTAAGAAAACTGGTCTATCCAAATGACGTTTGTGATAGCTGAGTTCTAATACTGTTACGTCCCATTTCTGAACATTTGGATCTAGACGAACTTCATCATACTTCAGATGAAAGGCTTTAACTACACAGGGGTGAGAAGAGAGATGATATTTTTTAAAAATATTTATTTTATTTATTATTATTATTATTATTTTGGTAACTTGCTACAAGGCACACACATTCACCAGAGAGGGACACAGAGAGAGAGAGAGAGAAAGTATGAAAGCAAGCCACCAGGTCCGTAACTCAAGCTGTGGTTGGCCATGTGGGAGTCCAGCACCTTAACCACCACACCACCTACTGGCTCCGAAAGATGATATTTTGCACTTAAACTAAAATCAAAATGATGAAGAACATCTTATAAAACAAAAATATATATCCATTAAAGTTAATTAGAATGCTAAGAAAGAATTTCAATATTTCTTCCACCAATTGAAGCTACATTATAACCAAAAGGATCTTAAAGCACTACGCTATTAGAAACATTTATAAATGCCAGCTACTGAGGATTTTAATGAGCAGTAAAACATGTATGGTCCAGTGAGGAATGATGACTATTCAAATACAATGTGATAAGGAGAGCAGGGTATGAAAGAAACACAGAAAAGCACACCATGCAGACCATGAATTCAGAAAAGGCTTGCATAGCCAATGATGCCTAACATAAGACCTGAAAGTCAGGTAAGAATTAAGCAAACGCAGAACAAAAGTGACCCAGTTAGCAAGAAGAACACGTGCACAGAGAAAACAGTTTAGTCTAGGAATGGAAGAACTTTAGTAGAAGTGAATCATGCAGTCATGTCGGGAAGGCATAAAGAAGACCACAGAAGTGTGGAGCAGTGCTGAGCTCATGGGCCATATTCAGGACTGTTCTTGTAAAGTGTTTGGAGACCAGCGATACAATTCAGTAATCCAGGGGATAAAAAGGCAGATTTCTTCAATTGGGTAGAAAATATATGGATTGGGTAGAAAATAGAAAGAAAGATTCGGGACCAGCAGTTAGCATAATGGCTATGTCGCTGGACTCCCACGTAGTCGACTGTGGTTCAAGTTCCTGGACCTGGCGGCTTAAACTCACGCCGGATGCATGTGTGTGCATGCCTAAGATCCCAAGAAGAGAATGGAGGAGAAGGGATTGTGGCATGGCCATCCCCTCTGGGGGGTGATTTCTCACTTTCTATCTCTCTGTCTCTCTCTGTCTTTCTGGCAAGCGCATGCACCCTCTAGCAAAAACCTCTAAATAAATAAATAAATAGATAGATAGATAAATAAATAAATAAGAAAATAAGAAAATATAAAGAAAGATCCAAGAGATAATCAGAGAGTGACAACTAATGGGATTTGATATGTTGAAAAGGGGAAAGAAAGAAAAAAAAAAAAAAACTGCAAAGATATATCCAACATTTAACAAGTGACTGCTGCATGTAATGCACTATTCTAGGCACTGCGAACATAGCAGTGACTGTGACCATGTCTCTGCTCTCAGGGAACTTATATTTTAATTGTCAATAAACAGATAAAGATAAAATATTCAGGTACTATAAATGCCGTTAAAACCCACGCCGGGCATGTGTGCGTGCGTGTCCAAGATCCCGAGAGGAGAATGGAGGAGAAGGGAATGCAACGTGGCCATCCCCCCTGGGGGTGATTTCTTGCTTTCTATCTCTCTGTCTCTCTCTGTCTGACTGGCGAGCGCATGTGCCCTTATAGCAAAAACCTCTCCAAAAAAAAAAAAAAATGATAATAATAAAGCAGGATAAGGAGATAATAAAAAGGTAGAGAGGGAACTGACAGGGTGTTCAGGGAAGGTCTCTCAAGGTGGCTACCTAGAAGTAGTAACAGAAAAAACAAGTCCTGGGACCAGCAGTTAGCGTAATGGCTATGTCACTGGACTCGCATGTAGTCGACTGTGGTTCGAGTCCTGGACCTGGTGGCTTAAACTCACGCCGGGCACCTGTGCGTGCGTGCCCAAGATCCCGAGAGGAGAATGGAGGAAAAGGGATTGCGGCGTGGCCATCCGCCCTTGGGGGTAACTTCTTGCTTTCTATCTCTCTGCTGTTGGTCTGGGGAGGGCTTGCGTCTTATAGAAAAAAAAAAAAAAAAAAAAAAGAAAGAAAAAACAAGTCCTGCAAAGGCTTGGCAAAAGAGGCTTTAGAGCATGGAATGTCCTATAACCAAGTGTAATTTTTTTTATATGCAATGGCCTACATGGAAAGTTCACAACAAGAAATGGTGTGATTTTCATTTTTAAAAGATATGTGTGTGGAACCAGCAGATGGTAAAATGGTTATATCGCTGGACTCTTCCACAGTCAATCACAGTTCAAGTCTTGGACTGAGTGGCTTAAAACTCACACCAGGCACATGTGCGTATGTGCCCAAAATCCCAAGAGGAGAAAAGAGAAGGGATTGTGGCGTGGCTATCCCCCATGGGGGGTGATTTATCACTTTCTGTCTCTCTGGCAAGCACATGTGCCCTTTAGCAAAAATCTCTCTCAAAAAAAAAAAAAAAGAAAAAAAGGTATCTGTGAGTGTAGGGATAAGATAGGGTCTGGGTGACACATCCAACCGGTGTGTATAGGTGGGCCACGAAATAAGAATACAGATGGAATCCTCTCTGATAACCCAGCTGATCATCACAGCTAGTTTACTATTTTATTTGCAATCAGTTCACCATCGGCAGAGCTTTTTTATGCATGTGCATGTGTATGATGCCTGGCTTTTTTTTTCTTTTTTCCATTTTTTCCCACTTTTATTAGTATATAATTGTTACAATCACTATCATCATCTAATATTAAGGGTTCCTAAAAAAATAAAAGTTGACCTTGTTTATGTTTTTGGATAGTTACTCTACGGATTGCTTGTTTCATTCTGCTTGTTGACATATTGACTTTTAAGGTTGATAACTAATCAAGGTTTCAAATCTTGATGAAAATTTGTAATTAATTACTTTTTTTTTTTTTTTAAAGATTTTTGTCATACAGTTCATGCACTTACTGGAGAGACAGAGAGAGGGAAAATGAGAAATCACCTTCCGGGGGATGGTCACGTTGGAATCCCTTCCCTTCCATCGTCTTGGGATTTGGGGCACAGACACACATGAGCCTGGAATGATTTTCAAGCTGCTGGGTCCAGGATTCAAACTGTGGTCAGTCATGGGGGAGTTCAGCACCTTAACCACCATACCACCTGCTGGTCCCTTAATTATTACTTTAGAAGAAAGATTCTCAGGCTGGCCCTGTGGACTAATAGTTAAGGGAGCTGTATCCCACATAGCTGAGCACGCCTAGAATCCCAGTCCTAGAAGCCTGAAAACACATCAGGAATGTGTGCATGCCAAGTCCTGACACAGTGGTAAAATGGAGATAAAAAGACACTGCGGTGGACGAGCAGGTGGTTAAAGGCACTGGATACCTACACGGCCGATCACAGTTCGAGTCCCGGACCTGGTGGCTTGCTTTTTCACTTTTCCTCTCTCTCTGACTCTGTCCCTCTCTGGTCAAATTTTTAAAAACAATAACAAATGAAATTAATAAACAATTCTAAAAAAAAAACAAAAAAAGACATTGCAATGGGACCAAACACCACTGTGAGGGGTGCTCCCTCCCCTCCCCCCCTCTCTCTCTCTCTCTCTCTCTCCCTCTCTCTCTGGTATTCTCTGCTTAAGCACATGTGCCCTCTGGAAAAAAAAAAAAAGAAAGAAAGAAAAGAATTCCCTTATCAGATATAACTTATTCATTTTAATTTAATCAGACAAGTTTATTAAAAAAGATACATGTTGGGGGTTCAGAAAACCCACTTTCAAAGTATAAGAGAAGTATTTTTGTCAATGTACAAAAATTTTAATTTACTACATTAATGTAATGTAAAACAACATTTTAATACTTTCCACTCTGCTGACTACATGTTTTGCTTTTCTTTTTTTCTTTTTTGGAGAGGTTTTTGTTATAGGGCGCATACACTCACCAGAAAGAGAGAGAGAAAGTGAGAAATCACCCCCTCTGGGGGATAGCCACGCCCCAATCCCTGCTCCATTCTCCTCTTGGGATCTTAGGCACACACACACACACACGCTCGGTGTGAGTTTAAGTCACCAGGGCCGGGACTTGAACTGCGATCAACTACATGGGAGTTCAGCGACACAGCTATTACGCTTAACTGCTGGTCCCATGTTCTGCTTTTCTTATCTGCTCAATGTCTGCTTTAAGTCACTCTTAAAAATACATGAGTTGGGCTAACAGTGGTGTGGTGGTTAAAGCACTGGACTCCCACATGGCTGACCACAGTTAGAGTTCCAGACCTGGCAGCTTGCTTTCTCACTTTCCCACCCTCTCTCTCTGTGGTCAAATTTTAAATAATAATAGTAATAATGGAAAAATTAAATAAATAATCCTTAAAAAAATAAATATATGAGTTCTATGTTAAAAATGGTTTCTCTAAGCTATATCTAGTCTCTTTCAGTAATTTCAACAGATTTCAGTTTTACTGATATTTATTTTTCCATCAGAAGACTTTTTTAAACTGAAGCTGAGATATTAGAAAATTCAAAAAGTATAAGTCATTAATAAAGTATCAAAATAAAGTACCATCAAATATTTTATTTGCATGAAGCAGTGGTGCCAAACTCACACCAACACACTACCATAAAAACATCTTTCTTATCTAGAAAATGACTTAAAGGTTTTAAGCCTCTAAAAGTAAAAATAGAAGAAAAGTTCTTTTCTAGGAAGTGATATGGAAGCACAACTAATACAAAAGCCAACTTCTTCACACAATTCGGAATCCCTTAGTTTTGCAAACTGCATGAATTCTGTCATCTTTAAAGGCAAACAAAGAAACAAAACAGAACAGAAAAATAACGCTTTTTTTGGATACACTGATGGCAGGATAAATGACAAAGGGACAGCATAATACAGAAGATTATCCAATGAAATAATGTCCTAAAAGGTACCTAAGAATATCCAGAATGTGATAAAAATAATCTCGGTCAACAAAAGTATGTCGCTATCTCAAGCAGAAGTATTTTTTAAGGTTTATTATCTCATGAGAGAGAGAGAAACAGACAGACAGATAGACATCCTTCACTGGGTCTCTTGAGGCTACCACCTCTTCTCTCCAGCTCTCTAGGCAGTGAGAATCCTGGGCCTGCACTCGGCATATTTCAAGTCAACTTGAGATCTGAAACGACAGTCCGCCCTATGGCTTTGTCACCACAGGTCGGCAGACTACCAACTGTCATCACCAAGGCTGGGCCATAAAAGTTTTTTTGTTTCTGCAGAGATTTTTGCCTTAGAGTACATATGCTACCAGGAAGAGAGAGACAGAAATAGTGAGAGGGAAAGTGAGAAATCACCCCCCGGAGGGAATATCACACTGCAATCTCTTCTCCTCCTGGGGTTCTTGGACACACACGCAAAGGTGCCTGGCATGAGTTTAAAGCCACGAGGTCTGGGACTCAAACCGCAGTCAGCTAAGTGGGAGTCCAGTGACATAACGGCTACAACATCTGTTTGTCCCCATAAGCAATCTTTTTAAAGTTATATTCAGGGACCAGCAGATGGCATAATGGTTATGTCACTGGACTCCCACATAGTCAATCACGGTTTGAATCTCAGACCCAGCAGTTTAAAAAAACTCATGCCGGGTGCATGTGTGTGCACGCCCAAGATCCCAAGAGGAAAATGGAGGAGAAAGGACTATAACATGACCAACCCCCTTGAGGATGATTTCTCGCTTTGTTTCTCTGTCTATAAGTGAGTGCACGTGCCCTATAGCAAAAATCTCTAATTAAAAAAAAAAAGTAATATCCAGTTATAAGCTCAAAATCCTCATTATAATTTCACAAAGATTTTATTTGGCAATTTTATACAATTCAATATTTACTACCTTCTCTAAAACTGCATATTTTACAATATAATCACAATTATACAACATTAGGAAAATGTACTATGTTTTACTAATGCCCATGGAGATGCTTCTTAACACCCTTGGTTTTCCCTGTATGCATATAGATCATATCTTTTCCTCAGTGTAGTGGATGAGGAAAAAGGTGGAAGCAGAAGAGTAAAAACAGATAGATCAACTAAATGCTAAGAGACAATCCATTCCTAAATTTCTGTCTCTCAAATAGTAAAAACAACTAACCAAGGACAAGAAACAGTTGGGAAAGAGGACGTGTGTGAGCAATTCCACCTGGAACAGGCTGCATCTGATGCACCAGTGAGCATCACAGAGGAGTGACCCGGGAGTCAGTGAGATGTGTAGGGCTGGAATACCGACCTAGAGCCATAACTTTTAGAACAGGGCGTACAGATAACAACGACGACGAGCTATCAGATCTATGTGAGACGGGACTTGGAATTAAGAGAGAAAAAAACACAAAGGTAAGCATGTACGACGCTTCTTGACTTCCAAAGGCGTTATGTCCTGATAAACTCCCATATAGGCTAAAGATATAAGTTGAAAATGCATTTAATACACCTAACTACCAAACATCACAGCCTAGCCTCACATACCTTACATGCACTCAGAACACTCACACTTGCAGTTGAGCAAAATCATCTAACAAAAAGCCTCCTTATAATCAAGTGTTGGCTAGATCATGTAATTTACTGGATACTGTACTGAAAGTGAAAAACAATACACATCTGGATATTCAGAGATGGTTTCTACTGCTTTGCTTTTGCACCGTTGTAAGGTGTAAAAATGCTAAGTTGAAGCATCCTAACGCAGCCAAAGGATAGACTGCAAGGAAGTCTAAGATGAAGCATACCAAGTACTTGGAAAGAATATTTTAAAAGGAAGGAAATGAGTCAACAAGGTCAAATTCTAGGAAAAAGTCAAAAGTATGCAATACTTGGGTCCCTGGTGACATGAGTAGGGATGGTTTTAGTGGAAAGCTAGAGCCAGGCCACAGTGGATTGACAAGAGAATAGAAAATGAGTTAGTAGGGGAAAAAGAAGCTAGAAAAAAGGGGTGAGGTCAAGAATGAAGGTTTTGTTTTGTTGTTCATTTTAAGTTGAAAGGGGAAAGGTATTTTAAAATACTGACAGAAAGGAGCCAGTATAGAAGGGAGATTGAAGAAAAAGAATAATTCATGAATGAAATTACTGATAACTATTAAAAGAAAATTCTCTCAATTCTTATCTAAGTTTTGGAAGACTAACGATCTGAACAAAACAACAATAAAACAATGTCTTTTTTATCAAATTCAAATAGCATCTACATTTTGAAGACATTCTGATACTTTTTTGTTACTATCCAACGCGGCAAGCAAGCAGGTGATGCACACATTAGCATTTACTGCCAGGTTCCTTCCAGTAACACTCCCATCTCCTCCCTGTATGTAACTAACTCCCTATTTACCAACTCTATCCATTTCTCAAGTTTCGGAAATAACATACAAGGTAATCATAACATTAGTAATATTGATTCATTTTTAAAAATGAACGAAGACAGCAGAATAATAAACGACTTTAACATTTTCAAGGCTGGGCAGTACCCGTTTTTGGAGGCAGCACAGATGAAAGCCGAGGTTGCCGTGAAAGGCAGGCGTGCACAGTCACACCGTTGGACACACTGTGCCTAGAGCTGCCCTTTATTTTTCCTTTTTTATTTCTTAAGAAAGGTTTTTACTATACGGTGTGTGCTCACTAGAGGACAGAGAGACAGAAAGCAAGAAATGGCCCCTCCCAGGGGTTATGGCCATGCTGCAATCTCTTCTCCATTCTCCTCTTGGGATTTTGGGTACACAAGCACACACGCCCGGTGTGAGTTTTAAGCCACCAGGTACAGAACTGGAACCAGGTGGTTCAGCTACGTAACCGTTACGCCATCCGCTGGTCCTAGAGCTGTCATTTCTAATAAACGTATTTGTTTCAGGTGAATGACTGTTAAAAATTAATTTCAATGTTACTAATTTAATTGAAAACCCCAATTATAGTAAGAGTTGGAATACTCCTTCCAGCAAACATGCTAAATTCATCTTTTACTTTTGTTATATCAATTTATACCCATATATTCAACAAAGAATATAAGCCATTTGAAATAATTTACTCAAGAGAAACCTCCCTATGCTAGGTTCTTCCATGTTGGGACACAAAGGTAAGATCAAGATGACCTCTCCCCGGGACCAGCAGACAACACAGCTGTTACATCTCTGGACTCCCACATGGCCAACCGCGGTTCAAGTCCTAAACCTAGTGGCTTGAAAAACATGCCGGGCGCATGCATGTGTGCCCAACATCTCAAGAGGATAAAAGATTGTGGCATGGCCATCCCCCTGAGGGGTAATTTTTCACTTTCCCTCTCACTGTCTCTGTCTCTTTCTCTCTCACTCTGGTGAGCACATGTACCTTAAAGCAAAAAACATCTAAAAGAAAAAAGAGAGAGAGAGAAGGAAAGAGAGAAGACCTCTCCCATCATGGGACTTACACCTGACCAGGGAAGACTGACAATAAGAATAGAAATGCCAAGCACCAGTAAGTGATATGAAGAAAACCTAATAGTTACAGACCAACTGGAAGGAGGTGATAGCTATTTCAAACAGGCTGGCCAGAGAGGAGTTCTCAAAGAACAGTTAACTGAGATCCAAATGAAGGAAACAGTCAACTGCGCTCCAGTCATTTCAGAGGTGGGAAGGCCGGAACGTGTCATACGGCATTTTGATTTATGGCAACATATTTCTGTTTAGCAACAGTCAGTCCATTTAAAAACCATCAAATAAAAAGTCATCAATTTTAATAAAAATGTATGGGCATGCAATGATATTAGTGACTTTAAAGTGTTCAAAAAATAACTACTGGAGTTGTAGGATAGGCAATATTCACTTTAGACAAACCTACACAAAAAGTACTAATGTGCAAAAGTGCTTGGAAATATATTTCATACAAATTAACATTATGTATGTTAACAGCAATCCTTTGATATACGCACTATGTAAAGGGAACCTCAAAATGTTCATGGAAAAGTGCATATTATGAAAAAGAAGTATTCGTGAATTTTTAAAAAATAGTTGCATGAAAATAAACTTGTACTATAATTCCACTTTTCCACAAACTTTTTGAAGTTCTCTATTATATGCAGAGCCATACATGGTTCTTTCTTGTAAATACAGTGAGGATATTTCTATATGGAGTAAGCGGTCAACATTTAAAAAAAACAACAACAACAACAAAAAAAAAACACTTACTTTTAGCAAATATATCAACTGGTGATCCATCAGGCAAAAGCCAAGGCCACCCTTTGAACTGCCATGCAGGGCCTTGCACAAAAACTGCGACAACACGGTCCCTGTAAGCACAAGAGCAGAGGGGACAGAGGGAAGTATCTTAAACTTCAGATTTAACTACCATAAACCCCTAAGGAAAGAGTTTCCTAAGTACTCAGAGATGCATTCCTCATCAATCTTCCTAGAGGCAGACACAGGTAAGCACATCACCCCAACTTCAACCACCAGCGACATGCCATCAGACTGCACTTGTGACTGCCATGCTTCCTGTGCATCTGTTTCAGGGCCTAATTCAGTCAGTTTCTCTCTCTCTCTCTCTCTCTCTCTCTCTCTCTCTCTCTCTCTCAAGTGTATGTCTTTCTTTCTTTCTTTCAATGAAAGAGAAAGGGAAAAACAAGCACCCTCCACAGGGTCTAGTATCACCAACTGTCCCCACCAATACCAGCTGGATCACAGGCTTGTGTGCACAGGTAGGGCTGACCTAGAACTGAACTCTGACCTGCCATGTGGTTCTGGCACCGCAGAGAGACTGAGCCAACACCTGCATCTTTTAAACATAATTATATACACAGTACTTTTATGTCATTGTTTTTAGCCTTTCTTTTCTCTTGTATTAGTTAAAGTAGGGGCCACTTTTCCAATGCAATAGGGAAAAGTAGTTAATCTATTAAGCATAAAAGTTGTTTTTTTAAAGGAAGTCATTTAAAATTCAAGCACATCTTAAATATTTTAATTTTATTAAAACTTAAATTATAGCAATTCACTCAACTAATCATTTTTCAAAGGCCCAAGGTCTTAGTTTTTAGTACTCTGTTTACTTTGTAAATAATTTGAATGAAAAAACTTACCTAAACTCTGATAATTTTCCCAATTCTTTGAAAACTCCTAAATTCTCTGAGAGTTTTTATTTTTTAAACAATTTGTTTTTCTGACCATTCGCAACAGTTTTTCTACAAAGAACAAATCTCTTTCTAGCCCATATATTTCATCATTTTACACAATATTTAATTAAATTGAAAATTAGAGTAAGTACTGCCATGAACAGTTTAAACCTAGAATTACTGAGTGGGAACGAAACAAGACCCTTAACCATCCTGTTAACTCAAGTACTGCTTCCAGGAGCACTAACTATGGCCACTCCACTTTCTAGTCACTCACATTCACAGGGCTCCTCTTCAACCACCCTGGGAGGTGAATGCTATTAGCATCCCATTTCACAGATGAAGAAACAGAGATGCAGGGGCATACCAGAGAGAAGAGAAGCAGAAGGAAGCACAGAAGGGGAAGAAAGACAGAGAGACAGGGAAGAAGGAGAGTAAACAGCTTATCTTGGGTACCGTGTATGCTGTTGCTCCTGTCTGCAGACTGACACAGCATGAGAAAAGCCATCTCAGTATTACCATGCAAACAGTTTTGACCTTGCAGCTCCCAGAGAGGATCTGAAGAATGCCCAAAGGTCTGCAGCCATATTCTTTTTAATTTTTTTTATTTTTTTGAGATTTTTCACTATAGGGTGCGTGCACTCTCCAGACAGACAGAGAGAGACATAGAGACAGAAAGCCAGAAATCACCCCCCAGGGGGGATGGTCACGCCGCAATCCCTTCCCCTCCATTCTCCTCTTGGGATCTTGGGCACGCACGCACACACGCCCGGCGTGAGTTTTAAGCCACCGGGTCCGGGATGCAAACCTCGGTCGTCTACGTGGGAGTCCAGCGACATAGCCATTACGCTAACTGCTGGTTTCCTGCAGCCATATTTTTATAACCGCTGCATGAAGTGACTCTATGTATCCAAAAGAGCATTAAACCAGGGTTGTCTCTATCCAAGTAAAAGACCTACAGCAACTACAAAGTTGCAGTGAAAACCCAGTTAAAATTCTTAACCTGGTCAAAATCTCTGAGGCTAAGATTAAGTGTCAAGTAAAAAATTCACCTCCCATGGGATACACATCCCAAACTGTCAAAATCACCTTTGGTAACACAGCACACGACTGAATGATTCCTCAATTTTAAGATGTAATTTGTACCATACAACAGTTAGAGCCCAAAGTGCCTGCCAAATTGATGGAAATTTGCTGGACAGAAGTCACCTACATCCTACTGGGTCTCAGATCAGCAGGGAAGCAGGATAACATGTATGCTACTCCCTATGCATCTTCAAAGGACAATTAAAGAAAAAGAAAGGAGGTGAGAAAAATACTCCTCGGACGTGACAAAAGTGGCTAGAGACCCTAGCTGATGCACACAGGCAGGGTTTTGTGGCAAGGAGACGGTGTCTGCACATGCCATCTGTATCAGCATCTTCTGCAAATAACTGCAAACATGTACTACAAACAGTGTGATTTCCCTGCTTGTTGAAGCCCAGTATCTGAAATTTTCACTTTATTCACTTTTCATATTGCTCAAAGTATTTGTTAGTATGAGGCGAGAATCACTAAACAAACAAAAACCTTTATTCTTTGCTAAATTTCTTAACATAATAATCATCTCAATGGATTTAACTTCCTAAGGTTTGAAAGCAAGTATTTCCAGGTAAATCTTATTTAATACACCATATGTTGCATTCTCTGTATCAGAGATACACTCTCAGACTGAATTTTTACTCTAACTCATATGAATAAAATAATTTAACATAAATCATATATTCAAATTTACAGGCACATTATATTATAAGCCAATTAATATTTTGTTAAAGGACATTTTAATGTAATAAAAGCATTAAACCATGACAAAATAGCTTATTATATTATTTTTATTAAATTATTCCCTTAAAAGTAACTATGCCTTCAGTTATCATTCCTACTAGACAATCTAAATTCTCCAATCAAAAATCTAAACTATAGGACTTTGAAACAACAGTAGGTTAGAGGCTAGCAGGTGGCATGATGGTTGGGACGCTATACTCCCACATGGCTGACCAAAGTTCAAGTCCCGGACCAGGCAGCTTGCTATCTCACTTTCCCTGTTTTTCTGTCTCTCTGATCAAATTAAAGAATAATAATTATTATTATGAATCTATTAAATAAATAAATAAACAAAACAGTAGTTTATCTGTTCCATTCTAAAACCTGATCTGGAAAGATTGAGCAAGTGGAAAGAATTCTGTACACTAAGTTTTCCACAAGTTAGGGTGTTTTGTCTCATAAATAAATATTAAGTGTAGTTATCAAAATATTCGTTTATTTAGGGATGACTAAAATAGCAACATCATTGATGATCAATTAGATCTATTTACATTACCACAGTTTTCAAGGATAGTTTCTATTTACAAGCCAGGATAAAATTTGACACTTTGACAAAACTGAAAATACAAATCAACAAAACACAAAAATTTAATGAATATTTGCAAAATACACTTATCTTACCAGTCTTGAGGCATAAGCTTAAGGGGCTGGTCCACAACTCTGTAAGGGACGGTGACACTAATCGCTGTGCCCCCTGGCTGCATCTGGTCTTTTCTCCTCTGTATGAGAGTTTCATTTTCTCGCTGACACCCTTGTTTCTTCTTTTCGTCGGATGGAACAAATCTTTGAAAAAAAATATGATAAAAGTCAAATGAGGGGACCAGCATATGGCGTAATGGCTATGTCATTGGACTCCCATGTAGCTGACCATGGTTCGAGTCCCGGACCCGGTGGCTTAAACTCACGCTGGGTGTGCGTGCCCAAGATCCCAAGAGGAGAATGAAGGAGAAGGGATTGTGGCGTGGCCATCTCTTCCTGGGGGGTGATTTCTCGTTTTCTGTCTCTGTCTTTCTGGCAAGTGCACATGCCCTATAGGAAAAACCTCTCAAAAAAAAAGAAAAAGTCAAATGAATTCAATGTGGTGAAAAGAGGAAAATAATATTCTGAGCTAATTTTTTAAGCATTAATAGTTTTAAACTAAAAATATGTATTTTTGGATAAACCTGCTCCGCATGTTCAAACTTTGCCTTTGAACACCAAAGAGAACTCAAGCCACGTAGGCCACATGTTGCGATGAGTGTAAACACACAATTTATAATCACTCAAATAGCACTTAGCATTCTCCACATTAATCCTTGATTTCTTGAATGCTATTCAAGGAAAAGTTTATGATAAAAGGAAACTAATTAAAGGTCACTTAAAATGAAGGTGCTATTGTTAGAAACTAGGCTTCTGCACAGTGACTAAGTCTACTAGGAGCTTCTACCAGAGCACCCCTTTTCATATCTTATGCTTCAACAGATTCAGAAAAATGCTGACAAGCTTCAGAACTGCTTTGCAATTTTTAAAGTAGAAGAATTAAATCAGGATATGTCAACTGTCCATTTTAGTATACTGCTAGTATTATTAACAAGTAGTATTTATCAACTCTACTTGTGTGATTCAATTCTCCACTATCTCACCCAAAATAATGTACTAAAACAGAGAGCTGTTGCCAGCTCTAGAACTCAGCAATAATCACAAAGCATTTTAAAACAGTGTTATTGCCTAAACATACATATTGCTAACATGGTCTATTAGCATATGTTATTAGCTATGGTCTAGCTCCTCCAATGGAGGCAACACAATCGCTGCACTGAACATTGTTCTGCTTCTAAAGTTCAGATCAAGTGAAAGGTGAAAGGGCAAAGAAGATGCACGCATGGGTAGAGCGCCTGGAGAAATTTCAATACTGCACGCTGGAATCATCATGCAGTGAACTAATGTTACTGTTAAAGTAGTCAATATGCAGTGGTAGTGAGAAAACTGAACTTTGTTTTCAAGTCAACTGTTCTCACATCCATTCATTACATCTGATGAAAAAGTTAAGATTTTCACAGCATTTAAAAATCTCTCCCAGATAATCATTTGTTCCCTACAGATTTTGGTTATTTGATTTATTAACCAAGCTTACATACAAAATGCCAATTAAAAAAGAAAGGAAATGTCAAATATAACATCAACACTTTGAGTAATGAAACATTATCTTAAAAGTTTAATACACATATATTGTTAGAAACCACTCTAATCTAAAACCACAATTAACAAAACCACTTACGTGAACAATACATACAATACAGTGTGCTAGAAGTTAGACAATATACACAGTTGTATAAAACCATCCCTGTCCTCCTTAACTCACTTTCCAGACATATGAAAAACTTCTTCAAAAAAAAAAAAAAAAGTGAAATAAGCTCAATGTGGTAAAAAGGGGAAAACAATATTCTGAGATAATTTTTTAAGCATTAATAGTTTTAAACTAAAAGTATGTATTTTTGGATAAACTTGCCAAGAGAAAGATGCTTTCCTTTAATGCATCTCAATCAGTCTGTGTCTAGATGGAGCTAAAAATGTTTAAATTCTTTTTTTTTTTTGAGAGGTTTTTGCTATAGGGCGCATGCGCTCGCCAGACAGACAGAGAGACAGAGACAGAAAGCGAGAAATCACCCCCCAGGGGGGATGGCCACGCTGCAATCCCTTCTCCATTCTCCTCTCGGGAACTTGGGCATTCATGCACACGCGCCCGGCGTGAGTTTTAAGCCACCGGGTCCAGGACGCGAACCACGGTTGACTACGTGGGAGTCCAGAGACATAGCCATTATGCTAACTGCTGGTCCCAAAAATGTTTAAATTCTTAAATAAAATACTACATCTCCTTCTTCTCTGGCTTCTCAAATTTTAATATGATGTGAAAGTATAAATTTACTCATATGAAATTACTTACAAACTTAATAAGTGAATTATAAAATATTATAAACAAGTGATCTAATACTCAAGTTAAAAATAAAAGCCTATTAATCACTTAATTCAACTTTTGATGCCCAAGAAATAAGAATAATATAGAATTTGCATGGTTACGCACAGGTTGATATAAGTTTTACTAAAATTAAGAATCACTAAAAAAATTATTTTAATTAACCACAGTCCTAGACTTTTTACATGCTCTATTTGAATTATATCTAGGCTTTTCCTTAGAATAGTCACCTTTTTTTCTGTTAGAAAACACTTTATTACAAAAGGCTTTCAGCCTTGTGATTTCATTTGATAATAAGAGGATAAATCTCATCACCTCTTCTAAACTTAAGCCCACTAAAAAGATTAGCAGACACTGAGTATCCCTTATCTGAAATGCTTGGGACCAGGGTTTCAGGTTTCAGACTTCAGAATATTTGCATATGTATAATGAGTTATCTTAGGAATGGAACCCCAGTCTAAACCCCAAATTGATTTATGATGAATAGACATCTTATATACAGAGCTTGAAGGAAATTTAACATAGTATTTTTGTGTTGCAGCATTTTTTCACTGTGACCAGTCACATGTGGTCAGGTGCAGAATTCTTTCCTTGTGATGTCCTACCAACACTCAAAAAGTTCTGAATTTTGGGACACTTGGGGTTTCAGATTAGGGGTGCTGGACATGCACCTCACATCTAGTAAACATGAATGTAACGTGTTCACCCTACTGTAGCTCATCAAATCTAAGACACCAATGCTGCTACTGTAGCTCATCAAATCTAAGACACCAACGCTGCGAAATACACCATGACTCGGCATCTCGCCGGTAAAGAAAAACGCTCTGCCACCCAAACTCTGACAGCGCCTTAGTGACATTCTATATGTGGGACCGCAGACGGTGTAATGGTAACATCGCGGGACTCCCACGTAGTCAAACGTGGGTTGAGTCCCAGACCCAGCAGCTTAAAATTCACACCAGGCGCGTGTGCGTGCGTGCCCAAGATCCCAAGAGCAGAATGGAGGAGAAGGGACTACGGCATGGCCATCCCCAGGGTAGGGGTGTGGGTAGTTCTTGTTTTCTGCCTCTCTTGCGCATGCAAGTGCACGCACCTGATCACAAAAATCTCTTAAAAAAAAAAATGTTCTACATAAACCAGAGGAATCATCCTTCTGAGGGAATTGGCTAGCATGGGAGACACTGCTTGATATTGGGATAGGCAACCCTTTCACATGTACCTCAGGAATAAAAAGCAACACAGCTTAATCTACTAGTATCTTCCTTTCTCGTGTTGTATAAAACACTTAGCTGCTGCCTTTCTAAGAAAATATTGGATTGAGGTTTTCTCTGACAAGGAGGAATTCACAAATACCAAGTGTATTACCCACTGCTTCATTTCAGTATACTTCTGTATATACAATATGTTTTTGTTGACACAAAATTGATATACAGTAAAATGTAAAATGGGTTTTCATAAATGTATGCCCAGTGTTCTTACCAGGATACATTACAAGAAAGAACACATGTACCAATCCAGAAAGCTCCTCATATACATCTCACTGACCCTCATGTCTCTGCCCCCAACAGGCAACTGACATTCTGCTTTTGATCACTATGGAACAGTTTAGTCTGTTATGGGAGTTCATACACACAGAATCATATGGGGCGTATTCGCTTGTACCTGGTTGCTCTTACTAAGCATTATGTTTCTGATATCCATGTTGTGGGGAACTATAAGTATTTCATTCTTTTTTGCTGCTGAGTAGAATTCTATTTCAAGAATACACCATAATTCATTTTCCTGTTCTCCAAGTGGATATTTGGGTCTTTCTTAGTCCATTCGGGGTGCTATAACAAAAACATCATAAACGAGGTGGCTTATAAACATGGTAATTTCCCACAGTTCTGGAAGCTAGAAGCACAGAATCAAGATTTTAACACATCTGGTGTCTGGTGAGGGCCTACTTCCTGGTTCATAGACAGTTGTCTTTTTGCCATGACACATGCCAAAAAGAACAAAAGCACCCTCTCGGTCCATTTTATATAGAGCAGCTAATCCCATTCATGGGGGAAGAGCCCCCCAAGATCTAATCACCTCCCAAAGATCCACCTCCTAATACCGTCACTCTGATGATTAGGTTACAACGTATGGGCTGATGGGCGTTGTGGGGAAAGCATTCAGTCTATAGTAGGGCAGTTCCAAAACTGGGGTTATTACAAACAATCTAATATAAGCATTCATATGTAAGTACTTTTGTGACATATGTTTTCATTTCTCTGGCCTTTTCTTTTCCTTTTTTTTTTTTTTTTTGAGGTTTATGCTATAGGGCGTGTGCGCTCGCCAGACAGACAGAGACAGAGAGATACAAAGCGAGAAATCACCCCCCAGGGGGGATGGCCACACCGCAATCCCTTCTCTTCCATTCTCCTCTCGGGATCTTGGGCACGCACGCACACGCGCCCAGCGTGAGTTTAAACCACCGGGTCCGGTACTCGAACCGCGGTCGACCGCGGCATAGAGTCCAGCGACATAGCCATTATGCTAACTGCTGGTCCCATGGCCTTTTATTTTCTTGATGGTGTCTTTTGATGAGCAAAGTTTTAAATTCTAACAAAGTCCGATTTACCTTTTTCTTTTATGGTTCACTCCTTTAAAATATTTGTCTACCCTGAACCAGCAGGTTGCATGGTGGTTAATGTGCTAGATTCCACACGGCTTAATCTGCGTTTCAAATCCCAGACCCAGGGGATTGAAACACACACCTGGCCTATGTGCATGCATGCCCAAAATCCTGAGAGGAGAATGGAAAAGAAAGACTGCAATAAGGCTGTCCCCCTTTGGGGATGAT